CCCCGCTGCGATGTTCAACAGCTTGATGGAAATAAACGGGGGGCGCCCGTGAAACCCGGCGCTTGTCCAAGTGTTTAAAGCACACTGCGAGCCTGTTATTTCCCAAAGAATTAATTGTAGCTGTAGGGCAGCTCCTTGCCTTGTTAAAATCATAAACGAGGTTCCTTAATTACAAGCAACTTTTCTGGCGGTGTGAGGCAGCTGACGCCCGCTGCTGTCAAGAGGGATTTGGACTTTCAGTCCTGTATTTGAGAGGCGTGGGAGAGCTCCTGTGCACGTTTTCCGTGTGCGTTTCTCTCCTTTTCTCTGGCAGGTGTTATCTGGAGCGGTTTCCCTTGTTTAGATCAGGGAAATCACAGACTCCAGGCTTTCTGTTCCACTTCGTGTAAAGTTTTGGTCTCTCCCTCAGTGCAGGAGTCAAGGGGAGGAAAGGCGGGAGGGAGAGGGAATCTTTCCAAGATGAGGGGGAAGTTTTCCCCTTGGCCTGTGCACCTACCCCAAGGGTTGATAAATGACTTGGCCGAGTGACCGCAGGAAAACAAGACTCTTACGTGACTTATGCCAGCTCCTCTGGTCCAGGCTTCCCTTAGTGGTAAACACTCTGCCTCCCTGTGTATATGATCCCGCTGTCTTTGTAGCACGTGTATTTTTGGAGCTATTCTTGGTGTCTGCAAACATGGGGCAGACCTGTTGGCGTATTTGTGTGCTTATTTAGAAAAGTGTTTTCCCCCATTCCCCCCCCCATCCCAGTGAAATTGTTGTCTGGAGTCCAGTGGTCTTGGCGACGTATGCTTGAGGGAATGAATTACCTGTCCTCGAGCACGTGCAGCTCGTTGCACAAACATGGCCGGGTTTCTGAGCTGTAGAACTGAGTATTGAGCAACGTACCGAGAACAGTGTTTCTCTGAATCGCTCTGAGTGACTTTCTCAAGTCATACGGAGGATTGTCACGAGCCGAGTTTCACAGATTGGTTTTTAGAATGAGCAGCTTGAAGGAAGAAATCACAGCTAAAAGTAATCTCTTTTCCAGCTCAGGACTGAAGCGTGTGTTCAATGTTTGATTGCACGAGGATTTCTGTAGGTAGTGCTAACAGAAACCCCATCTGGACGTGGGTTACGGTGCTCCCTCTTAGCTTGCGTTGCCTTGCTGGGTGGTGAGGGGCCACCAAAGTGGCCTGCAACGTGCCTGCCTTTTTCTTTAGTTCCCTTAGCGCGTTGAAGTAGTTTTTCTGGAACAGATAGCAGACGTTGTTGGAAGTAACGGCTTGTTTTTTGCCATTTCCATGTAACCTGTTTCTTTGAAGGGGGGTGCTAGAGTCTTGGTGTTTCAAAGCACGTTAGGAGCCATATTACTTATGTAAATGATTTCCTGGAGAGGCAGCTCGTTTTCACGTGGCCAGTTGCCTTGCTTGAAAGCCACTCTTCAACGGCAGAAGTTACAGATTTGAAGAGCAGGTACAAGGCAGACAGTGTTTTTGAACTTTACAAAGACCTCTTGTTTGCGCTTTTTATATAAGCACGTAGATCCTTGTGGAATATGCGTACTTGTAAGTGACTTTGTACGTCTAAAAAGATGCAGAAGTGCTAACACCTGGTCGGTGTTACTTTTCAAGACACCATATACTGATCAATGTGCAGTGAATAAATGGAGCTGTCTGCATAGTTTGCCTTATATAGTATAACCCTTCATCGGCAAAGAAGCATCGGCCGACTCATTAATGAGAATCCAATTAGCAGGAAAGAGAGGGACGGCAAGGTGCAGGGGATGACAGAACTGTCAGGCAGGAGGGATCTCCCTCTCCCATATTAGCTGTCCCTACCTGGCAGGGTCACCTCAGCGCTCGGTTATTTCATTGTAAAACTGGTCTGGAACAAGGTCCGGGATCTACACAGAAGCAGAGCTGCAACGAAACTCCGTGGAAAGGTTCGGACAGGCAAACGGCTCGAGTGTAGCAGGGGGAGAGTACGTCAGAGAAAACAGCACGGGGATTGTTGCTCAGGGTATGTTTTTCCCATCTGTCTTGGCACGGTTGATCGTATCGCAGGACTTTGTTGTAGTTTGTCAGCTCGTGGATTGGAGAAAGCTCTGGCCGCAGAGAGCAGGCAGCAGGTGTAGGCAGCTAGGGGTGACGAGGAAAAAAGCTGCTGATTTTGTGCAACATGAAGCGGCTTTTTTGAGTGACCGATGTGCTTTACGATTCCTTCTCCTTTTTTTTAGCGTTTTACAGAATGCTCGTGTTCCGTGTGTCATTACTGCTTGCGTGGCAATTAGGGGATGTCTTGACCATGTCTGTGCACGAGGAGCTGAGATTTGGGTTTACCTTTGTGCGGAAGCAAGTAGGTCAACATCTAGTATGCGATTACACTCTCTCTTTGTGTGTGTGTACACATATATGTTGCTGCAATCGATCCTTTGAGGATGCATTTTGAAAAGTCTGGCCATGCAGAGATTCATGGGGCTGTCAGAGGTCGCTTACCTAAGTCCTGCTTTTTCCAGCTAAATCCAGTGATAATGCTTTTGGAGGTGCCTGTCTGATTATCGGGGTGAAAATCCCGCGCAAGTGCAAAGGTCAGGGTGTGGACACCGTGTCTGGGAAACTTCTAGTTACAAATAAACTGTTAATAAACTTAGACCTAGACAGTCAGGTGAGAGTCTTGTTGCTTTAGTACCTTGGCTTATGCATTGTCCAAATGGTGATAATATTAAAAAAAAAAGCGAGAGAAGTCTCGCTAGTTATGACTCTCGGTTGAACTTGATGCAGGGTAGAATGTCTTGGTGTTATGGAGCACAAAGTTAATTGCCTTAATTGAAGTGCGCCATACCCTCCTCTGTTTAAGGGAGCATCGCTGGAAGTGCAGGAATTACTCGCTTTGTTGAGCGAGAGGATGCCTCTGAAGATCTGATTCTGGTGAAGCATGTGTTGATTTTAAAAAGGAGTATGATTCTGACTCCGACCTAAAATAGTCGGTCAAATTATTAATACAGAGCTTGCTGGGTCATTTCTGACCGAAAAATAGAGGCTGTGTGTCCCGTTCCCCACCTCTCTCTGCTAAACCAAATATTGGAGTGGATCCATCTCTTCAGGAGGGCTGTTCACAGCCTTGTGTCAACAGAAGGAGCGCAAGAAGTCGCTGGTTTTGCTGCCTTGTTGTTTTCTTATGGCATCTTTGCAACTCTTGCACCGAGGTGGGGAAGACTGCTGATTTATCGACGTGGTTTCAGCAGCATGATTTGGCCGGGGTTCTCATGGCAGAGGCCGCGGTTTGCCACATAACGTTCCTTTGCGGAAAGGTGGTGCCGCGCCTTTGGAGCTGAGGTTTCTCTGTGTGCTTTTTTTAAAAATCCCGTGATTCTGGCTTAACAACAACAACAACAAAAACCCCACCTGTTGGTCAAGGATGATCTTTGTCGCTGAGAATGCCAACACCCCGAATCGGAGCAGGGGTTCGGGTTCTGTTTGTGCTGGAGGAGGCTGATCCTTTCAGTTGGAGGAGGACAGGGGAATGCCCACACTTGAGCACGTTTGCCCTCGGTTGTTTTAGGCAGATGTAGCGCTTTCAAACGATAAGCCTTTTTTAAAAGGAACTGACTAAATATTGTGTAATGTGCTTGCTAAACACCAGATTGAGCTGCTCGGGCAGCTGGGGAAATGGTGCTTGGTGAATGATGACTGCGTATGGTTATCGTAACTGCCGTTTCTATACATGGAAATCAATTTGGCAGGTCAAGTTGTCCCTATCTGGCTTTCCGTTCAGCTTTGAACCGAGGTGAGGTTTTAAAAACGCAGACCTTCGGTGGGACCGAGGACAGGCGCTGCTGCTGCCTGCTGTCACCGAACAATTTCTGCCCCATTGCTCTACGAGTCGGTATATAATCCTTCCCCGCTGTCCTGGTGTTTGGCTGGGATGGAGTTAATTTTCACAAGAAGTGGGGAGGGGATGCAGCCAGGACAGCTGACCCAAACTAGCCAAGGGATATTCCATACCATATCTCGTCGTGCTCAGTATATAAAGGGAGCTGGCCGGGGAGGAGGGGTTGCTGCTTGGGGATGGGCTGTGCGTCAGGTTCTGGCCAGTGAACAATCTGTGTTGTGTGTTGCTCGCTTTGTATATTCTTTTATTAGTATTGTTGTTGTTTCCCTCTCCCTTTGCTGTCCTAGCAAACTGTCATCCCAATCCAGGAGTTTTACCTTTTTCCTCTCATTCTCCTTCCCATCCCACCACAGGGGAGGCTCAGCTGCTGACTGGGGCTAGACCACGACACACGTGCTTTGTTTCAACAGGAACAGCTTTGGGCCATGTTTGTTCAGTTACTGACGAGCAGACTGGAGTGTCAGGATGACTTCTACCTTTGTCTTTGATCCTGTAGATACGTGGGGAACCTGTCAAGAGACGTGACCGAAGCTCTCATCCTCCAGCTGTTCAGCCAGATTGGACCATGCAAAAACTGCAAAATGATAATGGATGTAAGAGCCTTTGCCTAACGTTTTTCATGTTTCTCATAGCTATTGGCTTTGGGCCGTACTGGCATGTTTCAGAATTCCACTGAAAATATGGCATGACCACGTTAAAGGGACATAATCTGGCTGGAGATCACATTTGTGTACTTGGGGCATCATTTCCGCCTTGTATCCGATGCTAAATTTAAGGGTGGGTGGGTATTGTGAAAGGGAGCAGGCAGGTTACTGTATGTGGGTGTTGTAGGTGAGATTTGAAAAGTTCTTCTTTGCCATACTTTTACCTTTTTCAAGCAGAACTGAAATCTCCTGGAGCGTTGTTGTGAGCACATTGACTGTGGTCTCAATGTAGGATGAAAAAGCCTATCTATTTTGAGGAGTTTAGGTGTAACGAATAAAGAGCCGAGTATAATAGCAAGGGTACGGTTTGAAGAGGTTTGTATCCATAATCCCTTGTTTATTTCTTTTATCAGACAGCTGGAAACGATCCGTACTGTTTTGTGGAGTTCTATGAGCACCGACATGCGGCTGCAGCACTGGCTGCTATGAATGGCCGGAAGATAATGGGTAAGGTAAGCTGTCATGTCTACAGGGTGAGTAGGAGTTGAAAATCAGGCTCTCTGGGATGGTGCGGGTGAAATAGCAGTGAGGGAAATATCTCTTGAGGCAAAGTGAATACGCTGCAAATGCTAGGCACTGTGTTTGGGCGGAGGTGTTAATGTGGCACGACTAACGAGAAGAGCCATTTAGACAGTCATAGCAAGAACGCCACGGGAGGTGGGGATGTAGAACTGAGGAGGGCTCAGAGACGGCGGGTATAATGAGTATTTTATTTCTGCTGCCGTTATCAGGGCAAGGTCCCTCTCCCTACCCGTGCAAAAAAACCCCCCTGCCCAACCAAATAAAACTCCCCGACCAGGTCTGTTTCCCGTCTTTGCCCTTAACCAGCAGAACACAGTTTGGAAGAATGAACCCTCTCCCCAGAAATGTATCTTAAACTTGAGCTTTCCCCCACCCCAAACTTCCACATCTGGTGCCCCTGTGGCATCACAATGAAATGCTGGAGGAATCTGAGCTTAGTTGGGATTTGTTTGATCTAACGTGAGCGACTAACGTTTGCAGGAGGTCAAAGTGAACTGGGCGACGACCCCCAGCAGCCAGAAGAAAGATACCAGCAGTAAGTGTCACTTATGCTTTGAGTACGTGTTTGATTTGTACAAGTCGTTTTTAAACATAAACCGTAAGCACCGTACAATTCTATGCAGTAATGTTTTGTTCGTAATCCTAAGATATTATTTAATGTGTTTGTGTTAATAAACTTAAGAACAAATCTAATCTTTGTCATCAGGTAGTACCGTTGTCAACACACAGCGTTCACAAGGTAATTGTATCTTCTTAAACATAAAATGAAATCTCTCAAGGGTATTCACTAACCACCTGAAGCTATGTGTGGGGTTTTGTTCATTACACATTTATTTTTTATGGAAAGACTTCCCTTTCGTTTCCCCGTGACATCAGAAAGTGTGATCTAGCGGCCACTGTTTAGTTCTGGTGCTAATCTCCAGCTGTTTGTCACGAGCGTGATTGTAAAAAAACCACCAAACCCAACCCCCCCCTTGTCCCCCGCCGTTGAGGCAGAATCGTTGGCTCCCTGTGAGACCGCAGTACGCGCTCCTGCACACAGGCCCCTCAGGAGTACCTCGACTGTTTCCAAAACGGGGCTCCATCACTCCCGGTGAGCCTACGAATTGCTGCTTTCCTCAGCAAGCTTTGAAGTTCTTTAGTCCAGTGGGGCTAAACTACGTCAGCGTCCGAGCGGACTCAAGAGTTTTGTGCCTGCTGTTGCACCAATAAGTCTGTGTATTGCTCGGATGGTATGTGACCTATTACTTGATTGTAGTGGAGAACTCCTTAGATACAGGACTTTTGTTTCTCTTTGCTGCGTGTGTTTTAAGGC